CCCCTTCTTTTTTTTTTTTTAAACAATAGCTAATATTGAATGGAAATCTCTCTGGTCTGATCTTACTAAGACAGCAGGATGTTAACTTACCTGAGCCGTGGCTGCATCCAAGGGAGGTTTGTGTTCTCTGAGATCTTTAGCTAATGTGCTGTATTCTGTATTTTCTATATTGGCTTTGGTGGATCCCTGTATTGTTTAAAGCCAAGCCGTAGTGCGTTCACTCATTTCCAAGCAGTTTAGATTTGCAATACGTTGCTAACCAAAGTGATGCCATTCACCTGAAAGTGATTGTAAACGTGCTCCTTTGACATTAATCAGACGTATGTAGATCACTTGTGTTGCACTGATCTCCTCACAATAAGAAACAGAGCTGGACTTTTCAAAGTCTAGGCATTAGTTTCTAATTGTTTCTCAGTATTAGAGCTTTAAACAGCAGCATAAATTTAAAAATTCTTAAACCAGCCAAAAATAACATAAGGACCCGGTGAGTACTGAGAGTAGTTAATTCCAGTTTGCGATTTTTGCATATGATTTTTGCAGAGTGGACTTGGTCCATTTCAGTATATTTGCACATACCCATGCGACACACAGCATGCACTGCACACGTTATCACTGGTGTGTTGTTTTGACGCTGGAGAAGACTAAACAGTCCAAATGTTGTCATCACAAACAAGCCTTAATTTAATCATTTTTTGCCTTATTGGTTCTAAACTTTAAGTGATTTTAGGTGAGTTTAGGTTTGGATTCAGAGTTTTGATAAGATAATTTGATGCTGCTTTGATTGTAAATTCTTTTTCTTTTTTCTTGGACACTGTATTTTAACCTATGTTTTTGGGGTGTTTAACCTGTTTGTTTTTTTTCTCAATAAAGTTCTCTGTCTGAATTTCTCGGTTGCAGCTGTAAACTAAGATAATAGAGAAGTGAGTATATAGGGTCATAACAGCACCTGGATTGGGGGAGGCGGAATTGATAGTTTTCCATTGTGCTCTTTTTCTATCCGGGTCTACTTTTACTGTATTGGAAGTATGTTTGGGATCATTGGGATCATCATTGTTAGGTGATGTGCCACTTGTACAGGTTTCTAAGGGAATACTCTTTGATCCTCCAAGCATTAAAGTCTGAACCATGAATTAATTGCCAGAAAATAGAGTGTTTATTGAAGCATCTGACAATTAAAAAAAATCACGAAATAATGATAATTACATTTCCGTATATGTAAAATTTGTATAATATTTTTTCCAGACATTTTTTTGTTCCTTAAAAATGTATTGTGCAATAGGTTTTTCAGGGGGATTTAGGGGGTCACATTTATGATGTACAGCTCTTAAAAAACATGTATCAAATATGGCACACTAAGCCTTTAGTGGTTAAGTATAAAGTTTGTGTAGCATTTGATGCTTTCATTTGTGATTGCTTATATGTGAACCCTGCGTGTTGAATTATTAATGTGGAGGAGGCAGGGGAACGTGCTGCGTGCAGGAATGCAGGAATCCTTTTGTTGATGCGTCTCTAAGGTGACTGACTGCACAGAACAGCACAAGGGGCAGCCTGGCAAGTGGACACTTGGCTTAAAGACATCAATCTGGAAATAAATTGATCGGACTTTAAGTGAAGCGGAACTCAAGGTGCTTCCTCAAAGGTGTTTAAACCGCCTGTGCACATGGAGGCGAGCCTGACATCAGCCCCTCACTCGGTGAAGCGGTGGCAGCTAAGCGGGACGGACTATGAGCCGCAGCAGGCCGGCACCCTGCTGTCCGACACCCGCTTCAGCAGCTGGACTCCCCTGAACAACAAGCGGATCAACCTGCAGGTCAGAAATGCTACGTGGGCCTTGGTAAACCCCCTGCAGATAAACTTTGTGATATTCTATTAGCAACAACATGTCACTGAAATCAGAGTTAATGCATTTCAGGACAGTGCAGGGCTTTATGAAGGCTACTGAATTCCTAATTTTGAAACTCCACTCCAACCGGTTATGTTGCGGATCAAATTGACACATTTCAAAATAAAATGATCTACAAAAATAAATAAATAATTAAAAGTATTTTTCTTAAATATGAAGCTTCTTCTGCTTGACTTAATAAGTTGCAATCAATATATATGTTTGTAATACAAAAAAAAAGAAGCAGTCATGAAAAGTGAATTTTACGTGTAGGTATTTCCAACGTACAACAAAATGTTTTAATGTACTTTTTTTTTTGTGAAAAACGAGCGAATATGTCCTTATTGAACCATGATCTGTGAGGGGTAAAGAACACAGGTGGACCAAATATTAATTGGAGTTAATAATGAGATATAAACAATGTTTATTGGAATTTATTGCTTGATTGGATTGGATTGCCCTGGATAACTAAACCTATACGAGGTCAAATTGGCCCAGGAACATCATTACTGTATCTGAGAAACAAACATAACTGAAGGTTTAAAAAAATAAGCATGAAACATAAAAAAAACCAGGGTGAAGTTAAATCACTTCTTTTAACACAGCAAAATAAGTTTATTCTTAGAGATATGTTTATTAAATAAGGTAAACTGATTGTTTTTCCAATGGAGCCAGCATTTCTGTGCACATTGGTAGCTTGAGTATTTGACCATCAGAGGAAACTAATGCAATTCGAGGCCATACCTTGTATTTACTGCCCACACCTCTTATATAAAACCATCAGGAGAATTCTACTTTCATTACGTTTGTTTGCAAGAAATGTAATGAAAAGTAGCACCTAATATTTATTTTAGTTTATTTGAAATACTTGTGTATTTTGTCACAATCATTTCATTTTCTACATGTAGAATGTAGAACTGAGCATACCTAAAGTCAATGTCCAGCAAGAGACTCTTTATTGGTCTTCATCTGGACGTAGCGTTTTGTGGGAGAAACGTTTCGTCACTCATCCAAGTGACTTCTTCAGTCTCAGCTGACTGCAGGTTTCCCCAAATCTTATAAACAGTACATTTGCATAATGACTGAAACCAGCCCACTGAGGGAACAATGGGCTGGGAGGTCAGTTCCTTAAGCGATTTACTGAAACGTGCAAACTTACATGGAAATACAGTATATAACACAAAAAAAGTTTTTACAATTCTAACAACTTTGATATTTGGTGTGACAGTATTTATTTTTCAGCACTGTCTGAACTCTCTTAGGCAGCTTTCTTGTCATGTCTTTAAGTAGTCTTCAGGAATAGTTCTTCAGGCTTCTTGAAGGACATTCAAAGCTCTTCTTCTCTCTTCTTCTGCCTTTTGTTCTGTTTTGCTCTGGAATGTTTTGTAGATCTAATTAAAGTTATGAGAACAAAGTAGCAAAGTGCATAAAGATACAATTTAAAAGTGTTTTTTGCTAAGTTGGTTCTGTGTAGACACAACAGTTGTTCTTCCCTTAAGTTAGGTGCCTTTTATATACTTGAATTTAGGTCAGTATTCAGTGGTTTAACAAGCAAAAAGCATTCCTCTGAAAATGGTCAGGTACAAGGACTGGACTGAAAATGAGTGAAAAAGTAGCCAATGTCCAATAAAACTTTGAAAGACATGCAGAAAGCCTGGAGAACTATTGCTCAAGAGCACTTTAAAAAGTTACAAGAAATTCTGGCTAATTGGAAGCAAAATATTAAGAAATGAGAGGTAGCTTGAGACTTTTGCTTGCACTGAATGTGTCTATGTTGGTATCCTTTTTCCATTTTCCATACCAGTTATTTGAGGAGAGAGTGAATCTTGTGCTGCACTGGTTTGATCTGTGGACGGACAGACAGAGGAAACACCTGCTGCACTCTCTGCTCACTCGTTGCACCAAGTCACAGCTCAGGTAAAGTGGATTGTACACGTTTGTGTCCTAACCATTAATCTCAGCCTGAAACTGTAACTAGTAAAGTGTACACAGGTGCACAGTTCAAACTGGTAACCTCTGTAACCTGAACAGGTACTGCCGGGATTTGCTGATTGAGACGGTTCCGGTCACTAAAGTGGACCTTACGTCGGTGCTGCCTCGGTTTCTCTCCCTGTATGTGATGTCATTTCTGTCCCCACGTGACCTTTGCAAAGCTGCCCAAGTCAGCTGGCACTGGAGGGTTCTAGCTGAGCAGGTGAGAAGCCCTGAAGAGATCTGAAATGTATTCATACATCTTAATTGGGGTTTTATGAAACAAGTTAAATCCTCTTCTTCTTTCTAGGACTGTCTGTGGGCGGGCCGGTGCATCAGACGAGGCTGGTTCCTTCCTTACACTCCTGGAGAAAAAGAGTTTGGTGCATGGAAAAGTCACTATGTCTCCTGCCTCTCCACACTTGACTGGCTCACTCCACGGGAGGCAGCAGAGATGTATGGGACCCTCAACCAGCAAAGCACAGGAATGACAGAGGAGGAGGAAGAGAGGAGGAGGGAGAAGAGGATCAGGCAGCAAATCAGAGAAAAGCTTCGAGAGGAGAAGAGTGAGTGGAAAAGAAAAAACAGAAAAATGACAGGGTGTAGAAACTATAGCAACACATTTTTGAGGTGGTAAAATCTGGGTCTGTGTCGTGGGGGCAGTATTCTAAGTAGAAAAAGCCAGACCTCCCTCTCCCCGGCTACCTCCGCAAGTTGTTCATGGAGGATACCAAGGCAAGTCAGCTGATATATTCTCTTCAGTGTGTCCGCTTACCTGGTGGGTGATCATTGTATCACGACGCACCTGCCTACCAACTTTGGTGGTGGTTGGGCGTTAGCCCATGGGGCCTGGCCTTCTGTGGGCCCACCACCTGCGCTAGGCACTGTAGGGTTCTGGTGAGATGTGAGTTGGGCAGCAGTTGTGGGCAGAGATCCTGATGGTCTGATTCCTGACTAGTGAAAACAGCTCCTGGGACATTTCCTTTATAACTTTTTATAAATGTCATTACAAGCTTTGTGGGACTGAAAACAAATATAGAGACAAATCCAAAGGTTTCCTGTGTCAAACGTGTTGTATTTTTTATATCAGTTCAAAGTTCAAATCAGAATTGTGAATGTTCTGAACTAAGACTGGACTATTTCTAACTCCCTTCATGCGTCTCATAATTCAGTGAGATGTGCCTGAATGGTTATCATCCATTAATAGTTTTTTTTGGTTAATTCGAATACAGTTGGTTTGTTACTAGTAAGCGAATGGTAGTGTTTACTCAATCTTTTATTCTGTGTTTTGTCCTGTCTATGATCTCTGTTACGTTTCTCTTTCCCCTTCAACCTCTAATGCGTAATGGTAGATGACTGCCCCTCCCTGGGTCTGTTGGAAGGAGGGAGTTCTTCATTCCCACCATCTAAAAGGGGGTCATTTTGGTTTTACTGTAGGGTTTTTACCTTTCAGTACAAAGCACGTTAAAGTGACTTATCTTATGATTTAGTGTTAAATACATAAACCTGAACTGAAGGAATGTTATTGAATGTGTTTAATGAATGTGATTAATATATTTTATTGATTCTCAAACAGTTCATCTTTGCCTTTCCAACTCATTGCTAAGCACAAAACGCTCCTGATTAGTAAAAACTCGCCCTTACTGGCAGATGCATGTACTGTATCTGTGATATCTGTAGGACTATCTGTGAGTGCCAGGAAACCCTGGGGCAGCTACACAAAGCCAGAAATAGCCAGAGGTGGAGGTACCCAGAAAGGGAGACCCGAGTCTGGCCTAACATTCGTCTCTCAGCCCTCCCTCTCCTGGCCTCTGAGGAGCGTTGGCTCTTCCAGCCACTCTCTCAGCCTGGAAAGAGGACAGCCCACAACTGCACCTCAGACCTGGGAGAGAGTCCAGGCCTGCAGCATTAGCAGGTGATTGTCTAACCACATATTAGATGAACCTCACTTAGCTTCAACCACAGTCAGTGGACTCTGCATTTTGAATCTTCAACAACTGTACCATTGTTATCAAGGGGAAATTTATCCCTGGAGACCAAAGCCATATTTGTAGCATCCTGTATACATGTTTATTTCTGTTGTTTAGTGTGACATTTTACAATGGCGTCTACTGGGAGTGACTCATTTTTGTAGCCCGCTTTGTTTCGGCTCTGGAGGTTTCAAAGTCTATTTTGAATCGATTGAAGTGTAGAAAATACTTTATATACACTGAATAACTTATCTGTGAGCACATGTGAAAACATCTGTATAATATAATGTCACAGTATGCTGAAAGCAACATGCATTTTCATCTTTCAGCGAAACACGAAAGATCCGAGGAGCGCTGTCGTCTTTTATCTACAGACCTGCACAGCCTCACACAGTCTCTCCCCTTCACCTATCCGCTCCTGCCCTGCTATTGCTCATCTCCAACAGAATTCCTGCATATGAGGTGAATCCACATCATCATCTATTTATTTATTTATTTTCCTGAAACAGCAGACATAAAACACAGAAATAAAATGCATACTGGGAAGATGAATAAATAACATTCCTCCCCGTCCGCTCTTTTTAATCTAGCTGGTGTTGAGCGGAGTGAAGCCCAGTGTGACTGCGGTTCTCTATGACCATAGAGGGACTCTCTCATCTCTGCTAACTCAGGTGGAGAGGGCTATTTCTGGGAAACCAGCTCAGAGGATTGGCCTGCTAGCTTGCGGAGGAACACAGGACATTCACCTGCTTCACAGTGAGACTCAATCACAATGAGTAAATTCATGTGCACACACTGCAGGAGTTTGTTCTGGACTAACTGGACTAAAGTCCTGTGCTGACATTTTGAAAACATTTTAACAAAGTGGTACCTGCCATTTTAATCCATTGACCAAAACTTAGCCCAAGAGATATTACTTCTCTATTACACTATTTTGCTGACCTACTATGTAATTCTGCCCTGACTTTTCAGACTCTAGCCTATCAGAGAAGACTCTACTGACTCCTGATCATAGGGAATTCTGGGAAAAACTGTGTGGCATGGTGGCTCCAACTGAGGAAGGAGGAGGGATTGACATATTCTGCCCACTGGCTGCATCTGGTAGCAGATGTTACAACACACATACTCTTCTCTCTAATCAGCATTTTCTCATTAACTTCAGCTCCCTCCTGCTTCGCCTCCTGTTTTCTCTTCTGCAGCATCAGGAGTGACTCTCCTCCAGAATCTCTCCACTTTGACTGGTCTGGAGGTTCGGGCACCGGTGGGTGTGGCCACCGGGAATTTCCAGAACAGTGCGTAACCCCTTAAACTTTGACCCTAAGCATAGGAATATTCCCCTCCCCTGTCATTGTTTCGTAGACTACAGTATCCCTCACAGTGTGTGTTTCTTTAAACATACTTCATCTTCTCCCAGTCCTCAGCGAGTGGTCTGACGGCAATGTGCCTACTGGCCTCTCAGAGAACCAGCCAGCACTCCCGGCCCTGCAGTATGTGTGTGAGGCTGTACTGCAGGGCTGGTGTGCACAGGCTCATTGGATGGAGGAGGCTCTGGTAGAGCTGAGGAGCACCTTAGGGCTACAGCTACAGTGGACCAGCCTCCAGGCCAGGGGCCGAGCTCTGGGTGAGTTTCATGTACGTGTTGGTTTGTGTCGTGGTGTAGAGGTAGAGCAGATCGTCTACTAATTAGAAGTGCAGTGGATCTTTGGCCAAGATGCTGAACCCCTGGTTAAAAGGATTTAACTGTAGAGAAAAGCATTTTTATGAATAAGGTGTTGTATGAATAAGAAACGTCTTTGAGTGCTAAATATAAATAGAAAAGTACTATATAAGTAGCAGTCTGGTTAAATTCTATTTTTCTAGGCTATTTTCTGTGGGAGAGAATCCGCCTTGATGAGATTTGTGTGTCCAGAGATCTCAGCGAGGCTCTGATCGAAGGACTCACTGCTCTGACCAGAGAGGAGGAGGTGGGAATTACTGTAGAGCAGTTTGTGTAATGCACCAGTTCAACAGAAAAAGAAAAATGTAATTGGACATAACTCACATAAGAGTGTTTGTGTGTGTTTTTTAACCTTCTCTTACACCTTCAGACCCGACCTGTGGAGTTTCTTTCCATCTTTCTGAAAAACTGGAATGAAGAGAAGAAGGGACAAGAGGGTAATGGACAGGACAGCAGTGGAGCTGATGGTGGTTCACAGACATGCTTCAACGTGATACCTGATCTACCACAGGTGTGTCTGCTTTAAACTGCCCCTTGTAGTGGAAACTCAAGGAGAACAATTAATTCATCTTTTCTTTCTTTTGGTTTTAGATGGTTCTGGATTGGAGAGGTGCAGCTGCGAGAGAGCTGCACCACAGCGAGTGTCTTTATCTGGGAAAGCTGAGTGCTGTGCTGAAGGTATACTTTAGTTTTGTTTGTTTTTTTTATCTGCAAGTGCCAGACCTTAACAATCAGTGGTAAAACAATATTCCTTCAGAACTAAAACATATATATACATCTGTCTAAGCAAGTCCAGAATACAGGTATCGATTATTTAATATATGCAAACCACACAAGTTGAATTTTAAGGGCAACCACAACCCTGCAAGTCCATTTTTGTCCATTTTTGACACTTACAGTGTTTATGTTGACATCAGAGAGAAGAAAGCTTTCAGTATTTAGAAATATTCATTTGATATGTGTCGTCTGCGCTGAAGGTGTACAAGGAGCCTCTCACAGCAGCTCTGAACTCCAACAGAGCCATTCTGAGCTATGCTGACATCCATGTTGTCCTCAGTCCTGTTGCACAAATACTGGAGCTCAACAGGTACAAACAAATACACACACACACACACGTATATATTTATATATATATATATACATGTAGCTGTTCCGAATGAGAGGAACATCAGGAAGAAGGAACACGAGAAGCTCGAGAAATACCAAGGGCTCAGAGAAGAGCTCGAGAAGATGTGGAGGGTGAAGGTAACAGTGGTCCCAGTGGTAAACGGAGCACTAGGTGCGGTGACTCCCCTGTTGCCAAAGTGCTTGCTCATAGGGGGTCATGTAATTGTGCCTTGAGGTGACTGTTGTTGTGATTTGGTGCCATATAAATAAAATAGAATTTAATTGAATATGTAAGGTGACTTCAAAACAAGCCAAATCTCCACAAAACACTTGCTCCAGGTCAGAGGTGGAAACGGTATCCACCTGACCTGGAGCAAGAGTCAAAGGACAAAGCAAACTGTCTCCAAACATCAGTTAGATCCCGGATGAGCCCCTAATTGCCGGCCAATGACAAGGATGTGAGACCAAGCAGGGTGTGTTGCCAATCATTATTTTATTCACTAAATCAAATAAATAAATAAACATGTGATATGAGGAGATGTTAGGATAATGAATGCTCAAACCAGTGAAATGTATGTGTGCTGGTATTGGCACTAGTGTAAAAAAAACACAATCTGGATGTGTCATTCCTCGAAGGGAGCGAGGGAAATGATGACCTTCTCAGGCCACACAGGCGTAACACAGTCAACTTAACCACCCTTTAAGTTGTCTGTCTGTGTGGATATGACACGGGAGACATGTTTGTGTGTACTTCACAGGGTGTTTCAGGCTGATTTACAGGTGCGGCTACAGCAGTGGGGTGCAGAGAAGTGTATTGGAGATGTTTTCGTGAAGTTCTGCTCAAAACTTAAAGTCTACACAAACTACCTCAACAACTACACCACTGCCATCCACACCATTGATAAGGTAAAGCCAGTGTCTTTTTAAACAAAGAACATTTGTTTAATCGTACATAACTTGAAATTTAGCAGAAATGGTTTACATGACAATTGACAATTAACAATCAATGCCATCATCATGTTGCATAGCAACCACCTACCAAAGGGCTAAAATAACCAATTTCTAGTATTTCTAGCACCTTTAACCTCTTATAAAAGCATTATATAAGCATTTTCATTTCATGGCCAGCAGCACAAACAGGTCAAACATTACTGCAGTTTATAATAATTTTAATGGTACATAATGTATTCTTTGGGTTTCAGATTTGGCTAGCTGAGCGTTGAGAGTGTGTGACATTGTAGTTTTTACTCTAAAAGAAAATTGATTTTTTCTATTTATTTTGATTGAGGTTGAATTTTTTTTTTATTGAGTAATCTTCCCTTTACGAAAGCCATGCAAAGTGGCTCATACAGGTACGAATAAAGTATACGATTAAAACGAGTTTGTTCTGGTTTACGGAAGATGCAGTACACACTATTGTTCGGCTCTAATAGTTAAACACAAAAATATATCTGAATTTAGTTGTGGTGTATCTGTACATGTATTTGCGTCAGTGCAGGGAGAGCAAACCATCATTTCGAGCTTTCTTGAAGAGATCAGACAGAACACTTGCAACTCACATGCTGAGGTAAGAGCAGACACAAAGCTTTTATTTGCTATTATGCATACCTGCCTGCATGTATCAAACCACAGTGTTTCAAAGTACGTTTGTGTTTATGAAGCCTACAAGAGCTGCTGCTGTGCCCAGTGTGGAGGATGCAGGAGTATGTGACTCTGCTTCAAGCTCTGTCCTTGCACACACACCCCGGTCATCCTGACCACGCACATCTCCGCTCTGCCCTCAACACGCTGCTCCAGTTCAGAGAGTTCATACACAAGGTGACGCATGAACTGAGAGCTATAAGCCATGTAAATGCCTCTGTTGTGGCTGTGCTGGCTCTCCTCTTATGCATATGTACTTTGTTGTGTTCAGTTAAAGCGCACCTCAGAGGCAGACAGACTGATAGAGGAAACGCAGCGACAGATTCAAGGCTGTCCGGTAAAAAATACAAAAAACACATATAGCTCTTCCTCTCTCTTCATGCCTCTAACTCTTTAATAATTTATCATATATGCTCAAAACCATATATTTGTGTGTGTGTGTGTGTGCGTGTAGAACCTCAGTGAAGAAAACAGGCAACTAATAATGACTCAGGATGCTGCTCTGCACAGGAGCCCTGATGAGCAGATACCAGATTCTCTCAAGTAAAAACACCAATTTTCTTTCAGACAGCAGATGTATGACTAATATTTTTACATTCTTCAATGTTCACGATGCTACGTGCTCAGATTCAGACTATTTTGTAACCATGTGTATATTTGCAGTATAATAATGTTCTTCTTTATGTAACTTTGCATGCGTATGTACTTTGTCTGTTTCATTCAAATGCTTAGTAACACTTTTTAATACGGCCCACAACTGAGGGTGTAGTTCTTTTGTAATTAAATGGAATTTCAAATTTAAGCAGACTGTAAGTAATTTTAATTAAGTATTTGAAATATTACATAACTTCATGTATTTACGGGAAAGAAAGAAGAATTGCATTGTAAGTAATTTTAAGTACTGTTTAATGTTTTGTTAATTTTGTGAAAAAACCCAACATCTCCCTGTCTTTCAAGCTAACTACGCTGCACTTTTCTGGGTGCGGACTATATTACGTGGTAGCTTAATCTTGCCTAACTTCCAGGTATTTTACATGAAACAAGACACTTCCTTTAAAAGTTGTGTTTGAACAGTGATTGTGAAAGAGAAAAAAAAGGTTATACTTGGCTCCATTATAAGATAAGATAAGATAAGAAGAACTTTATTTAACCTGAGGGAAATTCTTTTGTCATACACATGCTCAATGCAGCAAGAGAGACAGAGAACAGAGGAATAACATATACAATAAGAATAGTAGTATACAGTAGGATAGTGCAAAATATAATATCAATTAACTCTAACGAAGTAACAATATAACTATATCCTGAAAAATAAATATCTTAGCTATCAGTGCAGGTGATTCTAAAAGTGATATAGTATTGTACAATTGAATAAAAGAGAGTAGCAGGATATTATGGGGAGATGAAACAAACATTCGATGAAATACTGTTGGGTTATATTGCACGGTTTGAATGGGAACAGAATAACTTTGCTATTAATCCTTTGCTATTAAATAAAGAAAAAAATAAAGATGTAAAAACAAAAGACAGGTTTAATACACTCCATAGTACGTCCACTGAACTGAAAGTTGCAAGTTGGGAAATAGTGTTTGTTTTTCTGCAAAATTGCCATGACATTGCACACTACCTGAAATTACTTGCACAGTACTTACATTTACTTACAGTACACAGTATAATTACATTTTAATTTGAGATAAAATACTTTGAAATTCCATTTTATTACAGGGGAATTACACCCTTAGTCGCAGGCCGTATTATAAAGTGCTACCAAATGTTTTTGAACTAATCCTTTGCCGTAGGACCTATGAGCACGTCTGTGATGTGGGCCTCTTCCTGCTCAACAATGCTTTGGTGTTGACTCGGCAAAATGTGCGGTACACACCTTTCACGCTGGCTCACCAGAGCACGCACACATTTCTGGCCTCTGTGGCTCTCACCAGCCTGTCTGTGAGAGAGATCAGGCACACACGCTGTGAGTTTTTCAGTGTTTGCTGACCTCTAGTGGGTAAAATAAGCACCTTTAATTCTAAAGCTTACAACTTTATTCATGTATTTCTCTGTAGATGTGAGCCATGCCTTTGTCCTTGAGGGTCCCTGCCACTCCTGGGTCTGTGCCACACAGAGAGGAGAAGAGAGACGGCACTTCCTATCTGTGCTGCGTTCAGCTATGGAGTGTGCTTTGGCAGGACATCAGTGACAGCGAGGTTTGGAAAAAGACTGTTTGACTGTTTTTATGTCAAAAGGTTTTTGGAAACTAAAATTTATGAAGGAAATTCTATTTTAATGTCGTAATTAAGTGTGAATATGTAGGGGTCATATGATTGTTGGGTTGTTGAGGCGACATTTGTTGTGATTTGGCGCTATATAAATAAAATTGAATTGAGTTTACAACATCCTTATACTCCATTTAGCGATACAGTTATTCATTAGACATTAGACATTTTCACACAGTTTCACATGCTGTCTTGACCTTTTCTTAGCAATACCAAGCAGAGCTGTATGTTGAGTCAGATCAGATGTTAAGCAGACTTCATCCTGCCAGCTCCCAGGTTCAAAGTCTGTGTAATCTCTGACTGGTGTGAGAAAAACACAGGTAACTGTCTGGAAAATGTAAAGTAGGCTGTTGCCTCAACTGATGTATTTCTGGTAGTTTTTTGTGATATGAGAAAGGTCTGATAAAGAACAGTGGTGCTCTAAGTCTTGTTTTTTGGTGTAATAAATGTAATACAGCATGAAAAAAACCACAGTCCAAAAGTTTCATTTTTTTCCCCTTTCTTATGTTCCTAAAATTTCAAAACATGCAGAGTAACATGCAAAAAACTGATTTTGTTAATCAGTATTTCTTTATTTTGTATTAAATTCTGTATCAAAGATACTTTTATTAATGGGGGAAACTGATAAATAGTCCTTTCTAGCACATTTGTAAATGATTAAACTTCCAATAAAAACTATAAGAAATCATCCAAACAGCCTTAACGCAATAGGCTAAAGACAGAAAGGTTTATTTGCAATTTTTGTTTCAGAAACTCTTGAATAAGCTTTTCTGGACATTGTTTGTAGAAGACAACAGGTAAGATAACAAACAACGGAAACAGAGGCCGATATTAGCGACCTGCCATTATATTGTCTTCATTTATGGAAAAAGGACCACTACTTGTGGAGCGCTTTTCTACTCTGTTTGAGCACTTATTTACTTATTCAAACACATGTTCATAGAGCATTCTGCAACTTTCCTGTTTGCAACACGTGTTTTAAATGCTTCAAACAACAACCAGCCAATCCGAGCAGACAGTAAGGGAGTCGATATTTAAGCAGTGTTATTATATTATCTTAGTAACTACTCAAATAATTACTCATAGGAAATGTTAGACAAATCTGTTTATGATTTGTGTGTTTGAATGGAAAAAAAATGACGATCAATGTATCAGATTTGTAATATCACCTAATATCGGTACCAGTATCGGTCGTAAAAATTCTATATCAGTCGTGCTCTCATTGACAATACTGCAAAGTCTGGCTGTTCTTTCTTGTGTCCTTGCTTGGCTGTTTTTGTATGCAGCCAGTGTTCACAGTCTGCATCTTTTGCCAACTTTTCTGTACTGCGTCACAATTAATTAAACGTAAGCCCCAAATTGTGCGAGCTGCTGAACGTCGACCAATTAATAATACAAAATTGCTATTTCCCGAAAATCTTCCACATCATTTCTCTAGATTTTAAAATTTTGACGTATGTATGTGTGTTACAATCTTCTCTGATCCACTCTTGTCTTGTAGTGAAATATCTATATGGTGTATGCATGGAAAAACTGTTGCTCCTGCTGCACAATGGATATACTGAAGGTATCACGCAAAGCTGCTTTTGCAGTTTTGCGTGAGTTAAAATGACCACAGTAAGGCAACATTCAATTTCTTTTTCTAAGCTAGCTTTTATTAAGTATCCATATGATCTGGGCTTATCGCACTATAATGTTTACTGGCTTTGTCAGTTTCTCCTTTATGCTCTCAGTCGATAAGATTTTCTTTTTAGTCACATAGGAAACATTTCTCGAGTTCAAGGTATAAAAAGATTTTTATTGATAACCAAAAACCCCCCACAAATGTCACAATTTACACATAATCACTATGAATGAGCTGCATTACAACAGTTATATACCTACAGTATGTACATTATTGTCACTTAAAAAATACAAACATGTTCTATCCTGCGAAATGAATAAAAGGCTGTTTCATCATCTGTATCCGACAACAGATAAAAAGTAAGCAAAGAGGAACCAAAATAGTCACAATACAAATAAATATTTCATTAAACAACATATAACACGCTTGCTGATCTAATGTTACGCTTCTTTTTTTTAAATTCTCACAGTGGCTTCCCCACATAAATCTGACAGAAAAAGTTATTTACTGGTTTGTAATCAGTGAATAATTAAATGAATCCACATTTAATGTACTTCCTGTGACTTGTTAGTTTTTGCAGTGCACACGCTGAACAGTTGCAGTTTTGCAGTCTTGAAAGCACCACAGATGAATCATGGGTCATGGTGGATATTCTCTTAAAGTCTTCATCAGTTTAAAATGATTGTTATCCTGTTTGATATATCAGCTAACTACGGGTATGTTTTTGGCGTCGACATACTGAAAGCTTTCCTCCTGAAGAGAAATGATTGATTTCACAGTCTCCGGTTTGCTAGATTTGGGTTGTTGTTGTGCGATGCAGCTGTGTGTGAGGCCTGCTCTTTCCCACCAGGTACGTGAGTCTGTGGCGGCTGACTCTTGCACTGCAGTCCCAGGTTTCCTGCTGTGCTGTTTGTCCCTTTCTGGGAGCAGAAGCCCTTCGGTTTGGGGATTCTTGTCGGTCCTGGACGTCGGAATGCTTCTAGAGGTATCTGCTGATGGAACAATGACAGATTTCTCCATTATGACTTATAGCAACGACAATGAGGAAAGAAGTGAATACAGTAGATGACTGCATGAAAAAGAGGTGTGTTTGAAGTCTTTAGTTCTTTTCTGGCTGAACTGTGCCCATGAGCTCAGCAAACACTGACTGTAATACTCATAATGACCACTAGAGGATATCACATCACATTTTATGGACACACTGCCAAACTTTTGCTGCATGACTGCAGTATTTTGTGCTTGTAGCTTAAAAATATAGTAACTTGACATGAAATAGAGCAATTTTCAGTAAAGGAAAAGGTTTCTACTATTTTAAAAATGCATTAAACATCCTTTGGGCAAATATAACAATATGTTTAATGATATATTTAGACAGTTTTGTGCAAACTTTAATACACATCAGTGCTTCTTGTGAAGAAAACTACAAGTATGGCGAAAGCTGTTAAGTCCAGCAGTTAATCAAATAAATGGTAACAGGTATTTTGAGAATGATTTGATAATTAAATGAAAAAAAAAACTTTGCTGCAAACTGCTAATGGCCCCGATATAGTTCCACTTCATCCTGGTAATGATACCAACAGTGTAACTTGTGCTTAGAAACCAGTGCTTTTATATCACAGTCCTCATACGAGGGCATCTCATGAGACACATCGCATTTCGCGTTTTCTTAAACAACTTACTGCTCCACTTACTGTGCAATCACTTTTAATGAGCATGTTTACATGCAGAGCAGCAGGGCAGCACACTGGGGTGCATCACTTTTGGATCGGTCCTTGCACAGTAGAAACTATGTCCTGTTTACAGTACAGTGATAAGGTGTTTCCACAGTTATGAGGAACCTCAGCCACAGATGGCATACTCTGTAAATGTATTTGTAGCATGTTTATTTAGCATTTGGCATTTCAAGAAACGGATACACTGATTTAGATAAACACTGCTGTCATCTAATGCACTTGTTTAAATGTGTAGTTTTTATGCTCAGTAGACTGGATAAGAAAAATGGATTAAGCCAGTGCTTTAAATCTGCATTGCTTCTAATGTCCAGCAGGGGCAGAGTCCTCTGGTGGCAGAAGGTCTGACTGTAGAGACAAGGAGACCCAACGCCTCACTTGGGTCACTTTAGTATGCATTTTCCACCTGAATTGCTAGTTTCAAGTCTTATTTGATGCTGCATGATGTTCTTTTTGTAAACACTCAGCTCAGGACAACATAAGAAGATCTCACCAATCATGGTGCGATCCTCTTATCCATTAAACAGTGACTGAATCCCTATGTGGTGATAGTCAGCAAGTGGTTATCTTCTTTAGAGTAATCAACAAACAAAAATGGCACACACAGTGCTGTGCAAGTCTCGAGCCAGCCCTCATTTCTTTGTATTTTGCCTCCAAGAAGCCAGACTTGGTTGTATGGCTCTCCAGGCTTTCTGAATGGGTTTCAAAGTCTTTCAAAGTTTTTCTTTCTGCTTTGTTTGTATTCATTTTAAGTCCAGTTCTATGGCGTTATTTTTGTGCCACTATTCTGAGCGCACGTAAAAAAATTTGAGCGCAAGTAAAAAAAAGTTTGCAGGTGCAAGTGTTGTATTTTGAGGAGAAATTTATTTTGAGCAAAGAAAAGCTGAATTTGAGTGAACAAAATTCATTCCTGCGTGCAAAAAATGTATTTCAGTGTTTGCTATTATCCATACACACACACACAATAGCAGCCCCTCTCGCTCAGTTTTCGCATTTGCGCTCGTTCGCAATGTGTTGCTTGCGCTTTCAACATTTCTGCCCGTGTGTGCTCAACTCTTTCTGTACACCGTTATATTTGTGCCACAAAACCAGCCAATCACAGACTTGGATGCAAAAAAATCTGATTGGCTGTTCTGGTCTCCAATCAGCTCGAAATGATGAAATGCAATATCCCAGAATCCATTTCGTCCAAAACTCAAACGAGGCAGTGGCACAGGAACACAGAGTGGCAGAGTTTGAAATATTACTCTTTCTGGGTCACAAAATAAACTTTTAAGATATTTTCATGCGAGAATGTTGCTGTGTAAACTTCTAATACCTGCTCGATTCATCAAGACATCACATATTTGCATAAGTGCTCTGACGTTTTCGGAGATGCCTGTTACCCACCAGCTGACCGCATAGCTGGACTGGCCATTGGGCATACCGGACATTTGCCAGGGGGGCCGATGGTGATTTTTCATTTTTATGTTTATTTGTTTTTGTAACGATTTAAACAATGAAAGGTGGTGGATTAGCCAATTGGTCATGATCAACTCTGGGCTGGACCAATTACAATACATCCGTATTGAGGGTAAAAGGAACGTGATTAGTCCCGGACTTCAGCTAGAATGAAAAAAAGACACAAAGCTGGAGTTATTCTGTCTTTACATTGCACAGCTGCCTCTTCTCCCCTC